ATAGCCATTTAACGGAAAGTGACAGTTTTTTATTTTGATTAATTATAACTGATTAGTTTTCTCTGTTGAATGCAGCCATTATCAATTAGTTAACGTAATAGGTACGTTTCAGCAGAACACAACAGTTTTGAAACCATTTTTATGATTGTGTGCTAAGATAATAGAATCCACCAATCCTCTAGATCTAAAAGTATAATACAATCAGCGCAAAGAAAACTTCCAACATTTGCGAAATAAACGCTGAACGCAGTCATTTTTTTTTTGTGATTTGAGATATAGTAAATTGAATTAGTCGAATAACTGGATTTTATCTGACAAATATAAGAAGAAATTTAAAAAATAAATTTAACACCGTTCTTTTAACAGTAAAGGAAGAATATTTCAAATTGGAGATTAAGTAATATCGATCAGTTAAAATAAAACGGATTACTATATTATTATTAGTTCTCTTATTGCGTTTATATTTTGTAACTCTGACTATCATTGCAAATAAAAAAAAGGTTAAGTATAAGTACGAATCTCCTTATATTTCCTGAGAAATAAATGTATATCTATCATGTTTCATTTCTATTTTATTTTCTGTTTTAAATATAATGTATATTGTGTAGGTCTGTTATTTTTCGAAGGTTCTGAACTTATTGGATCAGTGTACACCAGTTCAGAACGTACAGTGGAAAAAGAACAGACCTTATGCAATAAAGTAGAAAAAGAGAAAAGGTTACAACAGAGAGAAGAGGTGAGGTGGAATATCAATGTTTTGATTGGTTACATACCTCGCTCGCGCATGTGTAGTTCATTTTTATCCATGCTGACATCAAAGGTGCCGACAGAAAATTGCGCTACTGTATATACTGTGGCCGGACTATGGATTCCGGCCTCTGGGTCTCTATTCTAAAAAATATCGCACACGAAAAACTAGGGAAATACTATAGTATGCGTCACATATACTATGGCATTTCTCTAGTTTTTCGTGTGCGATACTTTTCAAGAATGGGGGCCTTGATTAGAGGATCTCTACTTAATACATGCGCAGTGGTCTACCATCGATCGAGCATATCCTTATCTTTATATCATGCTTTAGCCTATCTCTAGCGACTCTAGCCTATGACCTATGGTCTGCTGCCTGTAGTGTAAGATTTATAATCGTAAGAAATTGCTCCGACATTGCACATTAGCTTTCTATTCTAATTGTCTCACGAGTATTTTTCTTAAACGAGGACTCTTCAAATAACAGAAATTAAAATATAAAAATGGGATTCGGTGGCACATTGTACAATCTCGTTCTCAGACGGACATCCACATTCACGGTCGCCGTTTTAGCCTCCGCTTTTATATTTGAAAGAGCATTCGATATGGCCTCCGAGAAGATTTTTGATACTATTAACAAAGGGGTAAGTGTCCACCTGTGCTTTCTATCGTCTTTACATTTGATTCGACGTCACAGTCTTATTCGGTACTCGAATATCGAGTTCCCTGGTGGGGGTTAAAGTGATTATATCACAGAAGAAAATATTTATTGTGTGACATATAATGACATTTCGCAAAATAAAATATTGGAGATATTAAATAAACTTGCGTTATTTATTTTAATTTATGAGTCAACACACGATGTTGGAAATGATACATTTTGATTTACATTTTGACATCTGAAAGAAATATGACCCTGATTGCATAACAGATCTATTTCTTTCAGAAACAATGGAAGGACATCAAGCACAAGTATGAAAATTAAATGGGATATTTTAGGAACGATATGTGTTAGAGAGATCTATGTTTAATAGATGTATTCTACCTCTGGATATGTAAATAAATAACAAATTACATGAATTAGCGCTGGTAAATTTATTCAGTTGAATATATTTTTATTTCATATATTGTGATATACAATATATGTATATATTATAAGATACGAGTCGATATATATATTTTATATTTATTTCAATTTATCATTTATATGTATCATATAGAAAGGAATAAATAATTATTCTGTAGTTGTAACAGAAACATCATTTTTGTTGTAAGCAGCATTATTATATGTAAGTCCTTTATATTTTAAGCACTTTTTAAGTACAAAACTGATTGTAGATGAATATTAAACCTTTCTTTAAATGGTGCCTCTGGAGTTATCTGCATTAGGACCCATGAAACGACCAGCGAAAAGAGTCTCACTTGTTGCTAGATCAACAATGGCAAATATAAATGGTCTATTTACTATGAAAGTTGGAACCATGTTAGCCATGAGCGGTACAACTGCAAGTTCTGCAATTTAATGAGCATTAGCATAGTGATTTGCAAGTTGCAGTTCATTGAGTCATATAAATTAATTATTGATAATTACCTGTCGCCGCAGTAGCGACAGTTCCTTCTTCGTCCACTTCTATCTTAGCATTTTGAATGATATTTGCTAATAGCAAGTGTTCATTGAACACGATTCCAGTGAAATTTGCTGCAGAACTAAAAATATCCTGTACACCCATCTGTGAAATAGATGACATTTTTTGGTTTCAACTCTTTTGATACATAGTGCTATTTAATGATATCTATAGTAATAAGAAATAGCATTAACTATTATCTGCAATTAATTATATTAATAAGAACTATAATTATAATGTAATTATAAAAAATAGATAAAAGTTTAAATTATACCGCCCATTGCTATAACACAACTCGAAAGATAAAGTTTTCCAGAAAATGAGTTTGTTTTCAATCATTAAAATTTTGAAATACAATTTTGATAACTGATTATAAAGAAATAAAAATGCTTTTTTTCTTATATTTTTACTCTTTCTGCAGACATTGAACAAAATAACAATTTTTTAGCCATATTATTGTTATAAGCATAAGCGATATATGTTAACAAATGTATTAATGACTACGTTTACACGGCTCGATTTACGCCGAAGTTATAACATTGATGTTATGAAATTGGCCAATCATAGCTATTCCTCTGAAGAATGGAATGACTGCGATTGGCCAGTTTCCTAACATCGATGTTATAACTTCGGCGTAAATCGATCCGTGATTAAACGTAATCATTAATATAAAATATAAAAGTAAGCAAAACATAGATAAATGAGTACTTGAAGTGCAAATTTTTATAATGTATAATATTAACTAGTAAATCATTACAAGTTCAAAAATTTCAGCCTTATTTAGGATCTATTGTAGATGACAGGAAAATCCAATGTATAAAAAATTTTTTTTAATATGTAGTGATGATATGTAGTGAAAAAAAGCAGAATTATATTCTTTTTATAATTCTAGCTCGACGTTTTGGTATTAAACTTTTCGTCTTAAAATGTTACAAAGAATACATCTTTAAAATATTTATCGTCAGTGATGGGACACCCTGTATAGCAAAGTATGTAAAGTATATAAATTAATACTTACGCGCATTAAGGGTGAACGCAAATCTAGTTTACTCTCGATACTAAATTTCGGAATAGCAAGTATTAATTCAGTTTCGTTGAGACTAGTGAGTAGCGTTTTCATCGGTACATACGACAGATCTTTGAACAAAATCTGAAGGTACGGATCGCTCTCTTCATGAGACGGAAGGAATATCAGCATAGACGTCCTACCATTCTGAAATATTAATTTTATGACAGTTTCATATGATTTTATTCTTAAAAATAAAAACTTAAATATTAAATTTTCTAACATATTTATTTTAATATCTTTATTCAAAGAGATTTAAAGAAAATAAAATTTCTTCTATAATAAATAAAAATGAATTTTACGCTTTATATTTCTTAGAATATTATGTAAAATTCATTAATTTTTATATTTTTTTCTTCAAACAAAAGTAATATATTACTTTGACGATAATTTATCTGCAATAATTTTCGTATTAAACATTTTCACAAAATAGAAATAAAGTTTAGGATTTTTTGATTCGCTGTTGAGTTAAACTTGCAATCAGGAACACAACATTTTCGAGTAGAATGATTAATTTTTTTTTACAAAAATATAAACTATCGTATTACTATAGTTTAAAAGCCAAATTTTCAGATCTAAAAGTTATCTAAATAATAATTATATGTAGTGTTGCCTGAGGTACGCAGCTAGTGTATAAGGGTTAAGATACGTTGAACTATACACTACATGAATTCTTCATATAGATGTCGAAGCATTCATGTTAACTTATGGATGACATAAGAATCTTACCGAGTACGGGATTTCTACTACATCAGCATCAAGAGAAGCTACATTGCCATATCGATACTTCGAAGATTTCTCCATCATAAGAACATCTTGGCAGCCACTCTGAGGAACATGGAAGCACCGTACACGGGTAGCGTCCTTGTCGAAGGACTTCAACCATCGTCCTTTGAAGTACAAGGACGAAGTTAACAGCATCTGAGTATTGGCGCTAAGAGTGCCTGGAACAACGTTGATAAAATACAGTTAAACTGAAGGAATATTTATTAGAGAGAAAGAATATATTCTTCGAAACATGAAGAATACGTTTCTTCAGAAAAAATTTGTAAGCTCGAATTACTGGTTTGGGGAAAGGGGGGAATGTCTTCTGCCATATTCGATAAATGTTCACTCAGGGTCATGATAACATATGTCAACGTCATCAGAGGAGCACCCCTAAAGTGAACATTTACCTTATATTCAATAGAACTTAAGTTAAATACCAGGCTGAATAATCGTCTTGATATTATTCCGCGTGTTCTCGCGAACCCAGGAATTGATGATATTGGCTGCATCGTTTGTATTCTCGAAATTCAGCTGTTGAATATCAGTTCCATAATAAGTATTTAAGGCGGTTATATAATTAGTAGATGCCGCAAGAGCCGGATTGATCCACAAGCGAGTTGCTACATCGATTTCCGTGCCATTTTGTTGGCTCTGGAAAATAATGTGAAAATAATGTGAAGAGAAAAATCAGACAAATTTTTGACGGAAAGAAAAGACGCATCAATATAATTTTGATAAATTTTCTATGCAAATTCAAAATTGATTTATTCTGTTGCCGTAAATAAATAATCTTAATTTATAGTATCGAAATTACCGATTTCAATTACTGATGTTTGAAGTTAATAAACTTTATAAAGTTTAAATAAGGGTATATCTAATATACTTTTAGCGGTATAAGAGAGCGACCCGCTATTCTCCTGATGATATATTCTTCTGCTGGTAATCTCAGAGCTGCAAGAAGCTCGTGACGTGTTCGACCACCCGTAGCTTCCACCAGACTCGTAAGGGCGATTTTCGCACTAGCAGGAGACAGTATCAGATTACCCTCCACATTCTCGTTTACTCTCTGCGGTTATCACCATGAAATTTTCATGAACATAAGGACCATTTTTTATGCATACCTTAATTTAACAAGAAAATTATCTTTTATTCTAGAAGTTAAAATACAAAAGATGAATGAAAGATCGAAATGTAGAAATGTTAAAGAATTTAAGAGGATCCTAAAGTCATCTATTTTACCAATTGAACACAATAATTTTCGTAGAACGATATCGCATATATTACTTTTACAGATTTGGAAATCCTTCAGAATTAAAGTATACCCACGCATTAATATATACATGTTTGCAGGAAGTTATGCTGAGAATCAGTAGACATTAACAATAAGCCAAATTACATTACTGTTTGTCTTCTATATAACCAGTGTAGTAGCAGTATAAGCGTAACTATATTCAAATTCTAACCAATTACATTAAATTAACACAAATAAAAGTTTAAAATGTGTAAAGTATATAATTGTAAGAGTAGCTCAAAATAGTTACTAAAAGTAATGTAACTTAAGTAATGTAAGTTAACTTATAGTTACAGCTGGAAAAAAGAAACAAAATTAAATTAAAAAAGTAACTGAAAAAAGTAACTCTAACTGTAACTTAGGCTGTGTTCCAAATTTACTGCCAGCACAGAAAATGCTACAGTTTACGTTACGTGCACTATAGATTTTCAGTACTGGCAGTCAATTTTGGAACATAGCTTTAGTTACAACTCTAGTTACTTTCTAACCCTGTACAGAGATGTGTCGATGTGTTACATTTTATTGATAAAACAGCGATTTCATCGCGGAATTCGGGTTTTACTTTAGGATCCCCTTAAAGGGCTTTTTATTTTTGGAAATTTATTTAATAAAGAAGGGTTCACTACCTTTGAGAAATTTTTTTAAACCGTATGCGATAAACTTTCATAGACTTTTGTAAATTTATTGTATAATACATATACATATATATGTGTATATATATATATGTACATACAATATACATGGTGTTCAAAAAAGATCGGGACCCCGGATTTACTCGGGAGGATGACATTTTTGAAAGAAATGTTTTAGACAAAAGAGAGTGAGAAGGTATAAAAATCTCTATTTACAGATCTTATCAGACCTTGATCTTGACAAATGTTATCCAGGACATGATCTTCGAATAGATTAATCTAAAATCTTCAAATAGATTAGCTAAAAATAACTTTTTTTTATTAGACGTCCAAAAATAAAAAACCTTTAAAGTATGAAATTAATTTCTAATTTAAAAAATTCAAAATGTATGATATTTTTGTCCACACTCTTCTATATGTGTCAATTCCTTTTAAATTCATCAATTTTTTCCGACAATAATGCAAAGTATGTATATCTTCTATCTTTTCCATCATTTGCATTTTACTAAAAATGCCTTTCTCACCTGCAGGAGATCGATGTTGAAAAAAGAGTATCGATCCTCAGTACTGAGTACAGCTGGAACAACTGTTGGAAATGACATTAATACAATGTGTGATTTCATATTACAAGAATAAGATCGTACATATGCATTTATAGCCATTGTTCTAGACACACTATATTTCTTATCGCGTTTAATGACATATTTCAATACAATTTACTTTATTTATTATGTTTAGGCGGATATCATGCAAATACATAATGGAAGCTTTCCAACAAAAGATACAAATTGACACAAGAGTCATCCTGTCCTTGTTCGATAATCAATAGGTAAGAAACAAAGACAGAATGACTCTTGTGTCCATTTGTGTTGAAAAGCTCCCAACGTAATCAATCTCGTACGCCGATTAGCCGCGCATATAAAATTCCGAGCATGGAAAATGACTTTGGAATAACTATTGGAAAAACAAACATGGAGTGACTAATAATCGTCACGTGTCTCGGCGTGTCGAGAAGAATTTTCCTTATCCTATTGCTGCTGTCTCGAGCTAAAAGCGATTTAGTAGGAATTCCATTTGCATCCGAACAAAATAACGGCGAAGATAGTAAAGAATGATAACGCAGGAAACTAATCGTGAGGGACGCCAAATGACTTTAACGAGCATCACTTCACCTTGCGAGCGATGATGTAATCACAGAAAATACAGCCCGATACTTACGGTCGATTTTGATTTACGATGGAGCACAGATGGAGTTTGAGATTACAATATTGAATATTTACCTATTACGTACGAATGAAAACTTCCAGAAGAACAAAAACAAGCAAGATTTAAAAATTTAACGAAATTCTGAAGTTGATAATATATGAAAAATTGGTGTAAAGATTCGAAAATTGAATTATATATTTCGATAATCTACAAGATAAATCTTTCAATGATTATATGTAAATATTATTGTGAAATACCAGGTAATATATAAATATATTACCTGGTGTACCTATTTATATAGGTAATATAAATACTTCAAGAATGTCTAATTGTAAATTCAAAGAAGATGTACCCTATCCCTTAAGACTTCTAAAATCTAAAACTCATCTTTTTTTACTCTTTACAAATGCTACCTGCGAGGAGACACCAGGAGATCCATAGCAGCAGTAAAGACATTATGTACGTAACTGGCACGCCTGAATGCATTTCGCGTGGCTCTCCGCGCGGGGAGGGGGCGAGCAGATAAACATGAATATAACGGAAACATGATTGTGACGAGTGATAATAGTAAAAGCTAGACTTCCGACAAGTCATCCCCACTTTACGCCTAAATCCTGCCGTATATATTATCTTTTCATCGTCATATAAACATTATTACGCTCTGATGTACCAACAAATTATTATCGCTTGTGTTCAAAAATATAGGTATGCGAGATAAATTCGCGTAACATTACGATGATGATACGATCAGAATAAAACAAAACGAGTTGAAGAATTAAACAAAAATAATAGAACTATCTCTCTTTCAGTTCCAGCTCTCTTCAGCTGATGAAAATGGTATTGTGAATAAGAAGACAATAAAAAGAGTAAATGAAATAAAATATATCTGGCTAAAGCTGGAAAAGAGCTCGTGAAAGTGATAGATTGTGTTGGAATTTCCGTTCACTATTTTCGTCCATGAGCGTCATTGGAATGTCCCACTAGAACTCGTTTACAACTTTTGCGATTATGTGTATAACTCGCGATAAAGGTATAACTCTCGGTTAAAATAAAAGCAAACAATTCATAGAGCCATAATTAATGATTCGGATGTAGAGGAAATGGAATACGATTAGCAATGACGTCAATAATTATTACAGTTCACAAGTACTATATACAATCATGCGTGACGATAATTTACGTTTAAGCAACGAAGGAAAAACCAGAAGAAATGTAATCGATCATTCCTTGAAAAATTAGTAATTAGTTTTATTAATAATTGATTAATTGAATATCTTAGATTCGGTAAATCACAAAATATATATTTTTTAATATATAATATAATAAATGAATAAAATAAAATTATTATAGGAATATTATAATATTTATTTAATATTGATCGTATAAATATAAATAAAAGAAATACTTTTTCTATCTGTACGCATAATTAATTATTAAAAAATTATAAATATTAATAAATTATCTAAAGTGTGATCGAGTTAAAAATAAATACACGTTTGCAAGGCTTGTTACATTATGTCTAATAAATTGGTTTAACATTATGTCTAATAAATTCATTTAACATAAAAAAATCTTCCTTTGGTATTATATATTTGATAAAGTTAACGCTACCTACGTCAATTTATCCAATGTTATTTTATTCGATATTTGCTATCAAATGTCGAATATAAATGAATTAGTAAAGGAGGAAGTTTTAACTTTATTTACCAAAATGAAAAAGTTCCGAGATGTACAAATTGTACAATACAAATTATACAAATTAAATCCTTTAGGAACGAACATTGAAAATTTGCAACGTTCATTTTAAAATTAAATTTAAAATAAATTCGAGATTTGTGCACATTATACTTAAGAATTGAAAATGAAAATGTATAGCATTGAACATTAAAATGCATATATATAGTATTTCACTCACCAGAAAGGCTATACAATGTATGTGTATCAATATTGTGAATATTGATGAATTCTTCACTTATATTTTTTAGCAAAAACCGTGAACAGTTTTTAACGACAAGACGAGATCGTCTCTAGAGGGTTAAAAAGCTATTTAATTGGAGTCGAGTGATGTATTGTTTATCTTGGGGAAACATCGCGAACATGGAAGAAATCGCCTTCAAAATTCTTATAAAGAAACATAATCAATATCAAATATCTCCTTCTTTCTCTAATTAATAAATTTTGGATGCATTAAAATATAAACAAAAATAAAAGACACGTTATATTCTTTTTGCAAGTGCTCACTCGCATATTAAAGAGGTAAATCAGTTTCTTTCTTTGTGAGTAAATATCATCTAAAAGTATAAAAAAATGTTTTGAATAAATATTGAAAAAAATGGTTTCAAGAATATTTTATAATAATCATTTTTTTTAAATTTATTTATACATTTATTTAAAAAATTAAAAAGTATTTATCTTTGTTATAAAATACTTTTAAAACCATTCCATTTTTAAACCATTTTTTTTATGACATTCACTTAGGAATATAGAGAGAGAGAGAGAGAGAGAGAGAGAGAGAGAGAGAAACTAAATTTTTTTTAAAGAGAAGCTTTGCCTTCTTAACAATTGAACACATATAAAAAAATTGTGTCTCTTATTTTTGTCTATATTGTAAAATCCAAAACTTGTTAAAACTGAAAGGGAACTTGGTTGCGTTCCCTTGCAATTTCTTTTATATTTCTTCAAGATAGGCGATACTCCGCTTAAGTAACTCTTTAGTATACGATATACAATATAATTTATACATCTCTCGGAACTTTTTCATTTCGAAAATCAGCTGAAACTTCACATCCTCCTTTATGCAAATTTAACATTCGTACCGGATACAATTTTTTGCATATAATAATACAAGATTGTAATGTACTTTCCATAACAATTTGTCTAAAACACAGCATGTTTAATATTGCAATAATAGTTTTTATAACGATATTGTATGTAAAGTATTGCATTAATGTATCCTAAAAGAAATTTTTTCTTGTTCTTATTTTATCAAAAATCGAATAAAAACAATTGTCTGTGTAAATAATTATATATATAAGTAAAAAGAAATAGAATACTTAATTAAGCCGTAAACCACTTGCATTAGGATTTTAATACATCTATTAAAATGCTGTTATCTCCCCATTATAATATTAATATAGAGGAGCATGCAATGTGTTAATGATATATGTTAATTATATTCTAACCAACATTTCCTTCTCCTAAATTTAAAATACATTCTACGTGTACAGGGTACTTTATCTCAAATTTCGAGCTCCGAGCTTTATCTTCAACAACCATTAATACGGAAAGAAAGTATATATAGAAAAGAATCTTCTATCTGAAAAAACTAATCCCATTTATCTTTTTTTTGTGTTTTAAGATATATAATCTCGAAATTTGAAGAAAAATATCCTGCATATAACTTAGTAAATCTGCCGTTAATGTTAGAAGAAGAAACTCAATATACACATATGTAGTATTTCTTAATTTTATCTTATAGTTAAAAGATCAATATAGTTAAAAGATTAATGTATTATATTAATCTCGGAGTAGAATTGCACCAAAGTAATATTCTACCCATTACCGTTACAGCGCAGAGATATTTTCTTAATAACTAAATAGCATTACGGTAGTTTACCGGAGTTTTCCTGCTGCACTTTTCCAGTAGTTCCAGATATATTCAAGGGATTCTGAATTTTGCCTACATAAAGGATAGTGCCGGTGGTCTCATCTTCAATGTAGAACACGAACGGATGATTAGCATGGAACGTTCCTTCTTCTATTTTATTTCCAATCTGTATTTCTGTATTAAGAAGAAGAAATGTAAACGCAAAAATCATAAAAGAAAAAGAAACACAGATAAAATTTTTTAATAACGTTTTCTCTCTACTCCTGAACAATCTACAATAAAAATAACTAAAGAAATTATTATATTATATATTAGGAGATATTTTTGCAGTAAAATTAATATATTATGACTTATTTAATATTTCTTTTACCAAATTAATTACACTGTAGTAAATAAATAACTAATGTAATTATTTATAGTAAAACAGAAGACCAAAAATATAATTAAGTAATTTGAAAAATATTTAAAAATATTTGAGAATATTAAATATTTAAAAAGTTCGAAGTTGCACTGTACGTACAGACGGGGACAGGAATTCTTTAATGAAGTTGCACACGTATCGGAGAACGCATGAGAAAAAGTGAAAAAGAGGCATCAGAAAGAATGAGAAAGCATGAAAAGGCATGTTAAGACATTTCTAGCTGTCCCTATCTGTACAACACATTATATGTATACATATTTCTCATTGCCTACTTCACATCTTTCCTTATACGTACTTAATTATTTATATTTATACATATGATTTAATAAGAGGCATATACATACCTGTTGCAGCGTAAGCAGTCGTTCCATTTTCATTCATCTCTATTCCAGTTTTATGTACTACATCAGACACCCGCAAACGTCTGGAAGCCCGTCTCGTTTTTGCTATACCCGTCAGCAGCGCGGTATCGTCGAAGATATCGCGGATACCAAGCTATTACAAAAAATAAACATATTACATTCACATCAATACGATAATTATTTTTAATAAAAATGAAATCGCTAAAAAAATACATTTTATACGTAGCAGAAACTGTAATTCTGACTTTTTAGTTATAATTTTGCTGCATTCATTAAGCCATATTAAATTTATCATATAAATTTATCATATAAATAATTTCTTTTTAATAAATAGTTTTATGTAAAACTCTTTATTCAGTGTTTATGGAAGCGTATGAAAATTACCTCACGCAAAGTATTTTCCAAATGGCTCGTAAACTCAAACTTGAACTTCGGGATCCAAACATCAAGAGGCAATTCCTGCATGGCCCATACATCTCTCGCCAATGTAAACGAATTAATCTCGTTGACAATGTGATCCACACCTGTCAGCGTGTGCGGTAGTATAATGTACATAGCAAATTTTAAGCCCTGAAAGATTTTACATTTTGTAATTTCTGCGTAGTAAAACGTGATTGGGAATATTTTACTCAGGTAATAAATCTCTCAGGTAATAAGGCTGTTACGTACGTCGTATGGAATTCGCAGAATCTTTGCATCAAGTCTGGACGATTCGGCATAATAAAATCGACTTATAGTGTGCATATACGGCACGTTTACGCTCTCGTTAGCATTTACGTAAAATTTGGAAACTCGATTATTTTCGGGAGCGAAGTATTTGCGGCGCCAGGCTCCTTTGAAAAATAATCCATTTACAATCAGCATCACTGAGTCCTCTAGACCTTTTTCTAAAACAAGAATATATAATAAATAAACATCATTTAAATTTAATAATTAAAACTATAACAATTAAAGTCCTCTACTTTTGTCAAGGAACGCAAGATATTATTTTGTAAGATTTCAGATTACTGAGATTACATATATGTTTGTATTATTATACATATATGTTTGCATTATAAAATATTGAACAGAAAATTTTTTTAATTCAATTAAATATATCTTCTTATGTTTTATAGACTGTATCAACGAGCTTGAAACACAAAACATTAAATTCGATAATAAATCAACCAAAATAGCTCCAAGCAAACTTACCATCGTTTATCATCTTTCCAATATGTCCATTCGTAATATTATTGACCCAAGAATTAACTTTAGTCGCAATTGCGTGCGTGTCAGACAAATTGGCGTTGATCACATCAGTATTATAAAATGTTTTTATCGTCGCTGCGTAACGTTGTCTGGTCAGTATATTATCATCGATATAAATTCGCGAACCTAGATTTAAAGTGTACGCAGGAGACGGGGCCTGTAAATGAATATCTCTTTATGAATTTATAAATTATATACGTAAAAATATTACAATTAAAAAAAAAATTAATTATGACTTGTTCATTAATATATTATTCACCTGCAAAGATTTCATAATATTATTAAACTTCTCTCGAATGGCCAGTGGACTCACTGGAAGTTGTAGGACTCCGGCAAGTTCGTGTGCGGTTTGATCTTGAGCTCCCTCATAAAGGAGCACTAATGCTAATTTTATGGATATTGGCGACAATAATATATTTCCTCTATTTGTCTTACTTAGGCTCTGAAGAAACAATAAAATTAGAGCGTCGACATTAATAGTTTAATTAATTCATTAAGTTAATGAAATTAGCGTTTAAAACGGCTCTAAGATGTTTATACATCTGAAAGATCTGTTTTACATGTCTTACATATTTAACATTTAAACAACACACTTAGGTATGACATATCCAGCCAAATTCGATTGTTTATAATTTTCATAAAAATGAACATATAAATAACTCTTTTTCAATCGAAAAGCCAAACATTAAGGAATAACATAACGATGTCAAGCAAATGCATGTATATCTTTATTAATAAAATAATTATAACCGATAAAAAAAAAGCATTGAAAAAGTAATGGAAAAAAGAAAACCGGGTATGCCGTACTGAAAAGACATACGAGGGGGGACCCAAAAAAAACGGGAATTTCGTCATAACTTCTTTATTTCTCAATATTTTAACACCAAATTTTGATCACCTTCAAAGTATTCGCCATTGACCACAACGCACTTCTCCAAACGATTCTTCCATTGTTCAAAACAGTTTTTAAATTCACTCATCGGGATGTCCTTTAAGCCTTCCAGCGATTTTTGTTTCACCTCCTCCACAGTGGCAAAACGCTTTCCTTTCATATTCCTTTTGAGTCTGGGGAACAAAAACCTCCAAGTAGAGCTTCTGGTTGGCAGTTTGACCCGGGGGAACGAACTCCGCGTGCACAACACCTCTGCAATCGAATCTGCCACTGTGGAGGAGGTGAAACAAAAATCGCTGGAAGGCTTAAAGGACATCCCGATGAGTGAATTTAAAAACTGTTTTGAACAATGGAAGAATCGTTTGGAGAAGTGCGTTGTGGTCAATGGCGAATACTTTGAAGGTGATCAAAATTTGGTGTTAAAATATTGAGAAATAAAGAAGTTATGACGAAATTCCCGTTTTTTTTGGGTCCCCCCTCGTATATTTAAGGGGATCCTAAAGTCGTCTATATTACTGACTAAACCATATAATTTTTGTATAACAATTACCTTTTTTCTCTTTTACTGATTCTTTCTCGCGCGCGAAAATCTTTTTTCAGTATTAAAGTATACGCATTAATACATGTCTGTGAGGTAGAGCTTATGTTGAGAACGATAAAAAATTTCGAAATTGAGATCTTTATCATTTCTTAGTCCAACATAGCGCTCCAAAGCTGTAACGTCGTGATTTGCTTCATATAAAAGCTGTGCAATTTGTACTTACGAAATAGTATAGTCTATAAACTAATAGTTTGCACGAAGGAACAATGTGGAATTCTTAAAATTGGACTTACAAGAGAAGTTTCACAACTGTCCGGAACCGATTTGATTCTCCATGAAATATATTGTTAAATACGAAAATCTAAGGGGGGGACACGTATTTTTTTATACGTGCCCTAACTCATGTTTAAGGGGTGAAAATACCGGTTTTTTTATATACGAGGGGGGACCCAAAAAAAACGGGAATTTCGTCATAACTTCTTTATTTCTCAATATTTTAACACCAAATTTTGATCACCTTCAAAGTATTCGCCATTGACCACAACGCACTTCTCCAAACGATTCTTCCATTGTTCAAAACAGTTTTTAAATTCACTCATCGGGATGTCCTTTAAGCCTTCCAGCGATTTTTGTTTCACCTCCTCCACAGTGGCAGATTCGATTGCAGAGGTGTTGTGCACGCGGAGTTCGTTCCCCCGGGTCAAACTGCCAACCAGAAGCTCTACTTGGAGGTTTTTGTTCCCCAGACTCAAAAGGAATATGAAAGGAAAGCGTTTTGCCACTGTGGAGGAGGTGAAACAAAAATCGCTGGAAGGCTTAAAGGACATCCCGATGAGTGAATTTAAAAACTGTTTTGAACAATGGAAGAATCGTTTGGAGAAGTGCGTTGTGGTCAATGGCGAATACTTTGAAGGTGATCAAAATTTGGTGTTAAAATATTGAGAAATAAAGAAGTTATGACGAAATTCCCGTTTTTTTTGGGTCCCCCCTCGTATATTTAAGGGGATCCTAAAGTCGTCTATATTACTGACTAAACCATATAATTTTTGTATAACAATTACCTTTTTTCTCTTTTACTGATTCTTTCTCGCGCGCGAAAATCTTTTTTCAGTATTAAAGTATACGCATTAATACATGTCTGTGAGGTAGAGCTTATGTTGAGAACGATAAAAAATTTCGAAATTGAGATCTTTATCATTTCTTAGTCCAACATAGCGCTCCAAAGCTGTAACGTCGTGATTTGCTTCATATAAAAGCTGTGCAATTTGTACTTACGAAATAGTATAGTCTATAAACTAATAGTTTGCACGAAGGAACAATGTGGAATTCTTAAAATTGGACTTACAAGAGAAGTTTCACAACTGTCCGGAACCGATTTGATTCTCCATGAAATATATTGTTAAATACGAAAATCTAAGGGGGGGACACGTATTTTTTTATACGTGCCCTAACTCATGTTTAAGGGGTGAAAATACCGGTTTTTTTTTCAAAGAGGTGTTTCACTCCTTAAACATGAGTTAGGGCACGTATAAAAAAATACGTGTCTCTTAGATTTTTGTATTTAACAATATATTTCATGAAGAATCAAATCGGTTCCGGACAGTTGTAAAACTTCCCTTGTTAGATATCTAATTAAAACATTATTGTTATACGAAAATTTACGTATATATGCATGAGATATTGATGTAGTAGTATATATAGTGATGTATCAATGACACGTAAATTGTCTGTAAATGCTATTTACAATATGACTAATCTTTAGGATCCCCTTAAAGGTATCCTTAAGTTATCTATTTTACCGATTAAACATGCAATAATTTTCGTAGAATGATATCACATATACATATATTACTATTACAGATTTGAATCTTTTTCCAAAATTAAAATTTACGCATTAATAGTAGTCTGTATAATATGGAATTTATGCCGATAACGAAAAAAAGTATTGAAATCGAAATTTTTACCATTTTTCAATCCAATATAGCGTCTTATTGAATTGTTAAATTGTAACAAGAGTTATTACATTTACTTGATATAAAAGCTTTGCATTCACGAAATTGGAGGCTACAACTACAGACTAAACTAGATTACACGAAAAAACAACGTGGAGTTCTTACAATTAAAATTAGACTTTTAAGCCAGTTTACTCCAACGTTACTTATTTAACTTAATTTAAGCGAGGCTTAAAACTCGATTTTTCCCTCTCTTTCTCTCTCTCTCTTTCTCTCTAAAAAGAGATAGAGTTTTAAGTTTCGTTTAAAGTCAAAGTAATTGCATTGATACAATCGGATTTTAGACATTTAATCCTAATAATATCGTTTTACGAATATTTACGTATAATACATGTGCGTGCGGTATTGATGTAGTATAGTATATAATACGTATATAGTACGTAGTGATGTGTCGATGACACGTGGTACGTGTGTAAGCCTTATTGAATCGGTAAAACAGATAATTTTAAAATCCCATTAAGGATTAATTCAATTAGATAATAATTAATTATTATTTTTTTAGATATATAAGATTAAATATATAAGACATAATCATTACTGATACGTATAAGGGACATTTTATGAAAAGTACCCTAAATAACATCCAATCGAATACAGTGAAGCGTTCACCCTGGTAGGGCACAAAATCTTCATCATCTTCAACTTGAGGATCAATTCGTAAAGAATTGTTTGTTTGAGCGGGATTTTGTGCCACCGCACAGATATCTTTCTTTATAAAACCCACCGCAATTGAGAGGCACAATAAATAACCTGTAATTAAGATTTCTTTATTTATAATTTACATCCTGAAGAGGATCTTATCGTTAATCACTGATTCTTTCGTTTATAAATTTTCTGTTCAATTTAAAATCAATCTTTACTTAACAGAATGATTTACCGTGTTTTTATTAAATATTCTTGAAAATGAAGTACTTTATATATATATATATATATATATACATATATACAGGGTG